AAATATAATTGACATATGTTCTCCCTCATATGTGGATCCTAGGATCAGACTCTGATAAATAAGTATGCAAACAGACATAACTGCAGGAACCAGGACAAGGGTAAGGAAACAGTGACGTAAAGGAAAAGAAATAACCTGAAAGAGAAGAACAGTAGGAAACAGGCCTTAATAAGGGAGATGTGGATAAAAATTGGGTTAGTTTAAGGGAGTTGGGAGGGAAGGGTATACAGGGAACCTAGGGGATAAGGGGAAAGAAGGACCATCCTAGGTCTACTAGTTCCAGGGGACTGTGATCATCTCTCAAAATGTCTTGTAATTGTGGTGAGTCACCTGTCCTCTTGATCTAGTTCAGGCGATGGGGAAGGAGGAAGAAGAAGAAAAGGAAGGAGCCAGGGGACAAACAGGGAGAGACTACATAAGAAAAAGCTTATTGTGGAATAAAGAAATGTTTTTCACTCAAACTAGATAAATATTAAGACTGTTTGAAAACTGGAGCAATACCCCTTGTGACGTGCTCAGTGATGAAAACCTAGAAGATAAAAACAAAAACCAGCATGGAAGAAAAGTGTTTTAGTGTTTTTCTCTTAAAAGATAATCTGTAACTTTATCAAGGTACTTCTTTTCCTGGGTCAATACAACATGAGTCAGCTGACAGATTGAAATATCTAACTGAATTGTTATTAAACTTAGTAAGAAATTTTACTTTAAGTCCATACTTATCTGGATCTTTCTCTCTCTTGCAATCTCAGCTTTCATAATTAGGTTCTGTTTTCTACACTGCCCCTGCCATGGTCCATTTTATTTTAATAAACTCTAATTTCTTGATGATAACCTCAGTGGTGTTGGATAATGTAGGAGCTGTTTAACTCTTCTTAGTCCTCTGAAGTACAGGTGAACGTTTCATTCCACCTTCTAACCTAGGGAGTTCGGCTCCAGGGCTAGCAAGGACCCTTGCAGAGTGACACATGACAGAACACTCTGTAGGCTGTTTCTGATTCTGTAGTAAAGTGAGGTAAGAAATAAGACGGGTGGACAGTGGGACAGGAAGGAAGCATGTTTTTCACCTACTGAAGTCAGCCTTGACTTGAAGGGCAAAAGGAGTGAGAAAAAGAATCACACATTTCTTTTTAAGAGAAAGTCAGGGCAGGGGAGACAGCGTAAGTGACAAATCCTGGTCCAGTAAACTTCATGATATGAATTTGATACTCCAAATTCATGTAAAAGTTCCAAGTGGTGGTAATCACTTGTAACCCAAGGGGGTTGTTCCTGGGTCTCGCTGGCTATCCAGCTCAATCTAATTGGTGAGTTCTAAGCCAGTTAAAGATCCTACCATGAAAAATAAGGTTATTGTGCGGGTGGAGAGGTGGCTCCGTGGTTAAGAGCACTGGATACACTTTCAGGGAACCTGGGTTTGGTTCCCAGCACCACATGGTGGCTAACAACTGTCTGTGACTTAAACTCTAGCTCCAGGGACTCATATGCCCTCTTCTGGCCTCCTGCAGGCATTGCACACATGGAGTACACTTATATACATGCAGGTAAAACACTCATACACATAAAGTAAATAAATTTAAAAATTAAAAACAAAAACCGAAAAACAAAATTTTGCTAGGTCCTAAGGAACAACACCCAAGGGTGACCTCTGGTCTCTACCTGCATGCACATGTGCACATACATGTGCACATACACACAGAATAAAGTGAAACAAAGAGATAATTTAAATATCTCTTGGTTGTGGACAAGGGGTTTTCTGTGATAATTCTGGGGAGAAAACTGTGAAACTTACTTCTAGCATAGGAAGAGAAATTGCAAACACAAATCAATAATGTTTTGTCACACTGATAAAGATTTACAAGCTGGGCATGGTGGTGCACACCACCCAGCACTTCAATCCCAGAATTTAAGAGGTAGAGACAGGTGGATCTCTGTGAGTTCAAGGCCAGCTTGGTCTATATAAGGAGTTCCAGGACAGCCAGGGCTATGCAGTGAGACTGACTCAAAACAACAACAACAACAAAAATCATAACCACTTATAAAGATTTACCTTCCAGTCTGTGGCTCGAACCCAAAGTAATGGTATTGACATTGGTCACAGCGTTGCTGAGCAGTGGAAGCGTGGCCGTGAGCACACTGTCCAGTGAGGTTGTTACAGACTTCGTTCACTGCACCAGCCCTGTGGCAAGGGCAGGGTAGGCAGCCAAAGGCATGGTCAGGAGAAATATAAAATCCTGGAAATAAAGAAGAGTTCTGTTTGCAGTTTGGGTCCAACCTATACTGAAAAGGATAATATTCTGATAACAGAAAACCAGAAGTCTTTCTCAGGGCATGATTTGATTTCCAGTGTAAATGTGGTTACAGATATTGCTCATGAGTGTATCAATAATGACCAAACAAAAAGGGATAAGTTATCTATGTTGTACTTCTCTATCTCCAGGCACCAAAAATCCAGTATACTTAAGACTACTTGATGGACTTTCAACCAATAGCTGGCCTTCCTCTCCGCAGATGCATCATCAACAAGTAGTCAGTAGCATATTCTGAATCCCTGAGACATTTGGTAAGAAAGCTACATGAAATACATAATTCCAAGTGACATTTGAATTGAAGGACAATTTTTATAGCAAAAATATGTCACATACAATATTTTCTCTTACTAAAACGTTATTGCTTGGAATTCAAACTTGATTATATACACTGTATATTGTTAAAATTCTCAATGCATGAATCTTCTATATGGCTTGCTGTATACAATTTATCAGTGATCCAGGCCTATGGACAGTGTGTCCCAAGAACTTTAAATTCTCTGCCCTCTAACCCTACTCCCACCTCCCTAGGAGCAGTCACTGAAGCGTTCTCACAGCCTGAATCACAAACCAGCTCTGGCTCTTCAACAGTTCAGACATTAATGTCCTTCATGCAGATCAGAAAAAGGAAAGCTAGGAAGGTTAGCAAATTTTCCTCAAATGTTGGGATGAATAATCACATAAACCAGGTTCAACCCAGGCCACCTGTTTCAGAAGCCATCTGGCCCTCCAGTGGTCTGTCCCCTCCTCCTTCTCCACAGTTTAGCTTAAACAACCTTTCTCAAATATAGTTTCCATGTCTCATTCATCTACTTAAAACTATTCAAGTCTTTATTTTCTTCATAAAAATAAAAAACAAACAAACAAACTTCAAAGTTGTTACCACAGCTTCCAGTCAGTCCTGTCCACCCTTCGAAGTTTATCTCCCAAAGTCGCCCCGGCTGTCCTACTTCTTCCTATTCTTGACCCTTCGGGGTCCTTCTGTGGGGGTCATTCTGTCTGTAGGAAAAGCCTCAACCCTCCCCTTGTACTTAGTTTACTTCTCTGTAAACCAGGTCTCGTCACTTCCATGAACACATTTCTTTCTAGGCAAGTTCAGACATGCCTGCGACATTTCTATAACATCCTGATGATTTTCTCCAGTGCTCAGAAAAATATAAACAATCTAATTTCACCAGAGCATCTCCTCCATCCGTGCAAGAACCTCATCTACATAATTCACCATCCTCCCTAGGACCCAGCATAGAGCTTTCACTGCAGCAGGCCTTCCCTAAACATTGATGGCTAGAAAAACAAACAGCATTAATTATTAAGTAGGCAGTGAGTCTCACAAGTATTATACACAATTGCACATGTACACACACACACACACACACACACACACACACACACAATTTAGAGATTCTGACGTAACTTCAAAGCCCATAGTCTTTTCTTAAACCAAAAGGAAAGAAATAAAACTGCAATTCACAAAAACACTCAAGTTCTTCAAAATCTCCTGGACCCAGGTCATTACCAACAACTGAAAAATTAGAACACTTTCAGACATTTGACAGATGGAGCAGGTATATGAAATGTCAATGGTTTGTGGTATCGAGTCATATGTGTACATGTGTGCATGCATGCATGTACATTTATAGGCACAACATCATACAAAATGCTGCCATAGATTTAAGAAACTGGAGAGAGGAGTCACAGCAATCTTCTATTGAGAAAAGTTATAGAAGATAAAAATGAATTATACAAATGTCATTATCACTATATCCGGTGATATATTGACCTTCCTAAAGACCCTAAACAGGAACACAAAGTCAATCCTTTTGGTTTGTCTCTTCTGTAGGAAAACCAAAGAATACTTTGCAAACTCCCACACATATTGGAGGATACTTAAAAAGAAGCTGCCATTTTACAGTCACAAATCATTAGCCTGTTTTCTTTATCTTAGGCTCTGCTATTGCTCTTAGACAGCTTTGAGAGGAATAAAATAGAAAATGCTACGTTGGCAAATGGGGAAAGAAGAAGTCTAAAGGTCTGGGACCGTCAGTTCAGTGATGCTGACACCATCGTTTTAATAGTAATTTACTGATTATGTTATTTGCTTCACTATGTTTGTGGATCTCTATTTGTCATATCTATTTTCAGAAATAGGTTAGAGCCACAGGAGCTAATACATGTTCCTCTACTTGGATCATTAAAGGGGCCAAGTCACAAATTTAGAATGCTCCTCTTTGGATCCAAGACCATGGTGGATGAAGAGCTTCGTATTTTTGTTCCTGGTAAAGTACCCAGCTCCTCAAGTTCACAAGGATGGCATCATGAATGTACTAACAGCTCTCCAATTTGGATAAATTACCCATTAGCATCAATACTTAGAAGTAGAATTAATTTGGACTTATTGCAATAGCTTCAAGCCAGAGAGAATTCTAGACCAATTAAGGATCATTTTTACAAGAAATGATGTATTAGATAAACCTGTGTACAAATGTGGCACACAAGATTAGCTAGTTCAAATGTTGGAAAGTAAAAATGCATAAAAATCAGAAATATGAGCAGAGAAAAGAGAACAGCAGCACCGTATTAAAAGGCATCAGAGGAGGCTGTGCGCAAGGCGGGGCTTCTAGGAAATGGCCACAATGGAATTCACCACGGACTGATCTCCCTCTCCTCTCAGGAGCGTGATTATAAGGGTTAATTCCACCAGTATTTTAGTCATCCTATTTTTAAGCAGTTCCAATTAGGATGATTCAGGGAACTTCCTGCTCACAGATTGCATCTCGCCTCACCTGAAAGTGCCTAATTCTAGACCATTACCTCCTTTGATGGTTTCCAACTATAGAAAGCAACATCTTCCCTTCCCTCCTGCTTAAACTTCCCCTCCTTAGTGTGGCTTAATGATAAGTGACCTGAATTTCTTCTTCAACTCAATACATCACTGATCCCCATTAGCACCCACTTCATGTTCCAGGTCTTTGTATCTGTATCATGTTAATGAATATTTCTGAGATTTTTTTTTCCTACAAATGACTTTGTACTACATTCTTAAGCACAGTCATTATGACATGTTATAACTGTGCATTATGTGTTGTTTTGAGTTCACATGTACAGAGCAGAAATCAGCCTGTTAAAACGTGTGATTTTTCCTTTGATTTCCACTAACTCTTGTCCCCAAACAAAACAAACCTCAGGTAGAAGTCAGTGTGGAATCCAGTTCAGCAATTCAACCTCCATATCATAACATGGAGCTGCTTTATCTGAAAATGCCTCTCGGAACCACGGAGTTCAATGTTATTAGCAAGGCAGCTGGTTGGCGTTATCTCCTGTTGTGGCTATTTGCACAGCACAGTGCCTGTCCTGAACATAAAGGAGAGACCGTTTGTTGGCAATATCTCTCCTGAGGACCATGAACAGCTAGGCTTTGCCGAGGTCTTGAAATGGGGGAAAGAAAACAAACTTAACCTCAAGGCCATATTCAGAAAAGGAGGCCAGTGCTTTGGATCAGCACTCAAAACACTCCTCTCACCTTAAACCAGAATAGAGATGGAAAATTCATGGGTGAATTCTGGGAGGAATTTGTGACTCCCTTATTCCAGGCAGGAAAGTTCTGAGCAATCAGTGCTGTCTGGATTATGTGCAGCCAACAGCGGCAATCCGAAATCATAATCCTAATGTGTTGGCTCATTTGCTGCTTAAAAAATAAATGCAACCAGTGTTTTCCATAGTGTTGGCCCAAATGTCAATAAGAGTACAAAGATGACACTGTTCATCCCACAGCGTGTCAAAGCATTTAACTCTGCCAATGAGGTTGGGGATATGTTGGATGCTTGGGTCTTATTCCCGCTTCTTGGAGATACTTCCCTCCTTGGCTATCTTACCTTATACCTCACACAGGTTTTCTCGGCTAAATTCTCCCACCCCCATCCCCTGGGAATCCATCCATCTCTTCACTGCCTTGTTATATTGTAGTTACTTGTCCTTACATGACTCAGATTCCCCTACTAAGCCATAAGGTGTTAATACATTTGTGATTGTACATCTGAGACCAGCACAGGGTCTGGTGCATAGAAATGCTTTCTATAGAAGCTGAGAAAGAGGGTGTAGGAATGAAATGAACAGAAAGGTCGATGGATGGTGGATAAATGTCTGTGGCTCATAAAGTATGAAAAAAAAATCTCTTTATATTGAAAAGTAAAATGATCAATATAAATATATGAGTTATAGGAGTGATTGGTCTGAGTGGCCCAGTGTATGAGGGGAAATAGCAAGGGGTCCACAACAACCAAGTGTACTAATTTAAAATAGAATTTTTCAGAAATCAACAGATGGAACAGAACTAGAGAAGAAAAATATCAGCCCCAAATAAGATCTCCTGCTCCTACGAGATAAATGACAAACACTCTATTGGACTTTTCTATTTTAGAATAAGACCAGCTTTCCTACTCATGTGAATATTCATGACTATACCCACATTTTCTAAGCATGAAATTCAAAACTAACAAAAGTATAATGAAAACTCCGATAGTATCTAGGATATTCTAATTATATATAATTATATATGAGCACACATGCAATGCCATAATTCACATTAATCGTTTCTATTCTTGCCATTTTACTCAGATTCAGTATTTATCAAATGCATGCTTCCAAGTGTCCTTCTTCATCATACCAACCACCTATAAACTCTTCCATCTTAGGTCAGGGAGTTGATCCTGTTTCCAGACCCTGCTGATCACTCCTCATTATCTGATCACCCAGGACCCAGGATCCCATGGCAGGGTTAATTTTTTATTTCATACCTATCACTGGAATTTTCCACAACAAATGAACTCTCTGGAAACCAGAGCAGCAAACAAGCCTCATGTGTGAGATGAAGTTGAAGATGTGGCAGTTACAGGTATTTGTGAAAATGTACACTTTCAGCCAGCCTC